CCTGTTAGAAGACACCATGGTCCAGTGGACAGTGCCACCATTTCTAGTATGAAGCTGGGAAATCCAGAGGACAAAGAGTAGGTCTCTTGGGGGCAAGAAAGAACAGCTTGATATAGTCTGGGAGTTATATTCAAGGTGCCAATTACTTCACTTATCACCTAATCAATTCCTTTCTGAGTGTCCCCAGGCAACCTTTGTGAGGGACAGAATTTTAGTGGCAGACACCATGGGGAACTCAAGGCAGAGGGCCAGTTGAGATGTACTACAAAGTTAATGGAATTTAAAAAATAGCTATATGCTATGCCAAACAAGGCCAGTTTACTACCCATTTGGATGTCTGCTGTTACTGATTTCTGTTGAGTGGGTTCTTTTGTTTGTTTGTTTTTGCGTAACAAGGCTATTTAGCACATATTTGGGAAAGTTCCCACTCAGGAGTCCATATATATGCTGGCAGATTTATTTCAGCCCTAATCATCTCATTTCACAGACAGCTAAAGGTACCACTCTTGAACAACACATATCATCCTACACACTTTTGGGAAATGAATCCAAGTAGCATTTTCCACACATGAGACAAAGCATTACAACAATGGACTCAAATCAAAAGCATTTAAGCTAAATCTTATTATTGTTGTTGTGTACTTCTGAGTGGACTCCCACTCATGGTGATCATGAATGGGACACGACAGAGGGTAACTGCCTATCAGGGTAACTAGGCTATAATCTAGCTTAACCACCAGCACCTAGGCCCCTTACCGAAACACAAGGGACCTTGTATTCGGGGTCAATTGAAGTTTGCAAAAACACTTGGGTCTAAAGTAATACATACCATCTTTTTAAAGATGAAAGGCCCAGGGATGACCTAGCAGGAGGCCAATGTCAGGCTTGCATCCCATTTATTAGGTCATCCTGTTTACCAGACCCTAATAGTGCATATCTGCAGTCAGCAAGTCACAATAGGGAATATTCAATACAAAAAACTCAATATGGTCTGAGTTGAAGCTGTGAGATAGTCTGACTTTGTGTAGCCCATTTTTTAACCCGGGAACATGAAAGAGTTACTTTTCCATCTTAATTTCTTTTTCTCTAGCTTTGTGTGGAAGCATCTAGCTGGGTCTCTTTGGGCAGCACTGTCAGTACTAAAATTCAGAAAACCAGAGACAGAAAAACCTAGCAAACCACAGAACTGCATTCAATTCCAGAAAGCTCTACTATTTTGCCTTGAACAGCAACAAAAACTTTCTGTTGGATGTGAATGTGAGAAGGTCATGAAGGGAACAACTGGGACTCTTGAGAGCCCATTTCCTGGGCTCAGATCTTGTGCTTTTGTTCTAGTTTATTAGAAATCCTGGGCTTGCTCTGTGGCATAAAGGTTCTTAACAAATTCCAGGGCTTAGGTTTGGACCTAAGAGAAAGGACCAAATTTAACTCTTAGACAGACTGATGTAGAGAAACAAAAATGGCATGAGCTTCTTAGATCTGCCATAAGTTTAAAATTTAATCTTCAATAACTTATTTCCTCCATTAACTGTCTTGCCTTCTAAGAGTAACTTCTGTACTCATCAAATCACAGTGGCATCTGCTCCAAGTTTGATCTTCAAGCTCTAATGTGATCTAACAGAAACCTCAGGTGGTTACCTTAGCCACAAAGTCATTGCAACACGGCCATGGAAGAAATGGTCCAGGTAGCCCTTGAAACTCCCAGTCTATTATTTCTAAATAAGCATGGCCCCTCCAATCCTGTGAAATGAAAGTCTTCTTTGGCTCAGGCGAGCTGATCCTTAGCTGCTCTTAAAGTTAATTCTAGGCAAGTGTGATAGCTTTGTTCTAGCTTTGTTCTGCACAGAATAGCCCACTGGACTTGTGAGAAAATGTGATATGGTGGCATCACCATCTTTGTTGTTGGCAGTTGGTAAAATGGGTCACAAAGTCAACATTAGGTTTCTCTCTGTCCTACCTCCTGACCTGAAACCTCAATTTTGGTTTCAGGGTCAAAGAGAAGAATGGACATAGTCTTAATCATATGTCAACCAATTATATTCTGAAGCAGAAACTCCATCAACTCAAGAGTGTTTATCAGAGAATTCATTATAAGTGATCCTTCTTCTCACTCCTTGTGCAGACTTCTGAAATGCAAGCCAGTCTGGTAGACCAATGCAGCATGGAGAAGGGGCCATATCAGCACTCAGCTGATTCTGTGCTTGCAGCCTTGCTGTGGTTTTCTGTGCTTTTGTGTCAAGCTTGATGATTTTTCCCTTATCCTTCAAACACTTAAGCTGTACTGAAACGTTACAGCCCAAGTGAAGCACAACTCTAACGTGTATAAAACCTAAAGGAGGAAATCAAGTAAACATTTCACTGAACAGTCAGCAGCCCTTGGGTGCCACTGACACCCTGTGAAGATACCTGTCAACACACCTGGCCTCATAGCACCAAGCACCTGGACAAAGCTGAGGCTCAAATAAAACAGAGCAGAATGATTCTCCTCTTGCCTCCTGATCTCTTTGCCAAGTTGTACAGGGTCTGGTGGTGTAGTCTGCAGGGAGCTGCACTGTTAACCCAAAGGTGGCACCTCTCAGGCAGTTCAAATCCACCAGCGGCTGCTCCTGGGGAGAAAAGGGGGCTGTCTCCTCCCATGAAATTATGCTTTAGAAACCCGCTGGAGGATCAGCTTTGAGTCTGTTTTGACTCAATGGAAATGAGTACAGGGTTAAAAGAGGAAAAACAACCTAATTCCTAGCAACTGATCCAGAATTAAAAACAGAATATAAAATAAATAAAAACAAAATAAAGCAAAACAAAATTAAAACCCTGAGATAAGGCCCAAGATTTGTGAGCTTGCCCCTGGAGTTTAATGTCAGAATTGAAAGGAAATACAGAGAGAGTGAGCACTCTCCTCCACTTCCCTCCAGAGAGAGCCCTACAAAATTGACAACACTGTCCTAAGAACCTCTTCAGAGAGGGGTTCAACCTTGAGAGAAGGGGAAATGAAGCCAGATGTTTCCCAGAGGCATTAATGTTGTGACCTTCTCAAGCAGTGGAAGCTAAAGATTAAAAAGGAAAGGCCGGAAGACTAAGAGTTGGGGATGTGCATGTGGATGCCCCTAAGATACCCTTCTCCTGCCCAACAAGTACACTGCAAAATCCAGATGAGGGCATCAGAGGACAGGAACCCAAAACTGGAGGGGCTGGGGGTATGGGGGCAAACAATCTTTATAAACAAACAATCTTTATAAAAGCACTCATCCATGTGAGATCTAGGGTCATTTCCCTTCCTTAGGGATTCTCATTCCGTGCTCAGGAGCATCAAAGCACACCCACTCCCCATGCCTTGTTTTATTTCTAGCACCTTTCCTTTTCAACCCTCTTTCGGAAGGTCAACCTCAATGACTAAGAGTCCTTCACGACCCATGTTATCTTCTGTCCCAGCACGTGGCTGAGTAGCAGCTTGTCAGATCTGGGCCGAGTGTCCACATATCCACCACCCTTAGCATGACCAAGGCAGGAGAGTTGGAGGTCACACACAGTCCTGAGATGCGTGATCCTGTTGTTGGGAGGAAGAACGTGGCAGCTTCTATCCTGGGTGAGAAAAGTTTGAGAAGCTCCTTTGTGAGTGCTTCTGAGAGAATAAGCACTGTAGGTACATAATCTATAAATAAATAAATAAATACATGAATAAATAAATAAATATGGACAGAGAGACACAGAGGGCTCTTTATAGATAAGCACCTCTTAGTAATAATAATTTTTTTTAAATCTCCTCTTGAGTTTCAAAGCTCTCATGCATTGGTGTCTATAGGCTCAATACACCTGCAGAATGTAGAATTATCAAAATAAGAACTGGCAATGTTCCAAACATCGGTGTTTCTCACTCAATGACCACGAGTCTTTCCAAAATGTTCCCGAGGTAGTCTTATTTTCAAGGAGTTGCAGAAAGGCTCTGAACCCACTCAGAGCTGCCTCCTTCAATGTCATTGCACTTCCCAACACGTCTTGCTTCTGCCTCTGTTCTATCACGGACCAGGTGCCTTGCATTTAGCATCGCATTCACAGTGCAGAACCAACTCCGAGGCAGAGAACGATAAAATGCAATGCCAAGATCTGTGCTGAAGATGCCACTCCAAAAAGGACTTTGCTAAAATTATGCAGGCACTTGCCTGGCAGCTATTTTAGGAAGAGCTACAGAATTAAATAGAAGGAATCTGGCATGCAACAGGCATGTACGTCTATCTTTTGTTGGGCCCCACAATTGAAAAGATTTCCCATCATTGTTCCCTTCACTTTTAACAAAAGGGCAAAAGAAACAGAAAGGAATCAATGTTTTAAAATTGGGAAACACAATTCCGGTATCAAGGGCAGTGCAACTGTTTACAATCTAAAGAAACTGGGTGAGCAGGTAGCAGCACAAGCTATACATGAACAACTTGTGGCTGAAACAACTTGGTTGTAGATAAATTGCACTCCTTAAGGAAGAAGTGATAACACCCAACATTTCTAGAAAGATCTAGTGCCAAACCTCTCCACAGCAAAAGACACCAGATTGGTGTTAGGGCTGCCCCACAGAGCATCCACACCTGTAATTAGCCATTCTTTTGACCAGAAATGCCTTTCTGCTATCAGCCCTTTCACTGGCTCAAACAACATCCTGGAGGACAACAGGGAAATGGGCCAAGTAGGGGACAATTAATACCCCAGAAGAACTTATCAAAAGACCCTATTTCCATATTCCATTCACTACCATGTGCCACTGGAGAGCTCTCAACCTTCATCATATGAAATATGCTTTCTTCCCTTGGACTTAAGTTTTTAAAAAAGTCTCTTTTGGGGAAAAATGCAATTAAAAGCCTTGTACGCAAATGGCCCAATGAGGAAGGAAAAATAAAATGCCCTCCTCTTTTGACTCACTGCACCATCACTGCCTAAAAACCATCTTAACAGGGACCCTTTCAGAACTCTACCCTGGATCAATAAATTCAATACTAATTAAACAGAAATATAGGTCAGCATTTAGCCAAAGCTCGGCCCTCCTGTAGGAGGTCATTCAATTCAATGACCGTCGTGGCGAAGTCCACCAGATCCACAAAGTCAGAGGTGATGATGTTGACTCCCATGGCTCCAGGCTTTTGCATTTTCACCCAGTCCAGGATAGCAGGGAGATTCCTACACAGAGGAGAATGTTGGGGGGAAGAGAGAACAGAGGGGTCAAGTTTAGAAGAATTGCTGCAGCAACAGAAACAAAACATTTCTGTTAACAGGACAAAAGTATGTCAATCAAAGCACAAGTCTCTGGAAATTCCTCCACTAAAGCCTTATATCGCTTTGCTTTGGGGATGAGGCAATCTGTTGTGTTCTACCCCCCACTACCCCCTCCCAATACACACACACCAGAAGATTTGTGCTATCCAGACTTTCTTTGCTGGAAGAGATTATTTGCCCAAGTGCTGGAGATACTATATCAACAGGAATTTTTAAAAAATAAGCTTCACCCAAGCGATTGGTGAGCTCTTTAATTTTTTAATTTAAATTAGAAAACATTTTGTTGTTGATTGTCTTTGAGTCGAGCATGACTCATAGCGACCCTATGAACAAAAGGCCTGAAGCTCCTCTAAACATTTTAAAGTTATAGAAAAGTGAAAAAAAAATTTACGTTTATGTATATCCACCAAGATTCTACCATTAATATTTTACTGTATTTGCTTAAGAACATCAATCCATCACTTTTACCTCTCATCAACCCATTTTATATTTAACCCATTTTCTATTTTTTGACAAATTATAACCACAAACATATACCCTAAATGCTTCAGAGTGCACATCACTGACTAGTTTGACTTTCTTTTGACATAAAGTGTTGGTCCAATAAAATGCACAAATCTTGGTGAATATTTGTTGAATTTTGACAAATATATACATCTTGCAACCCATGGCCCTAGAAAGGTATACAGCATTGCTAGCATCCAAGAAGGAGAGCTCTGGTGGCTTAGTGATAAGGGATTGTGCTGCTTAACCAAAGACAGGCAGTTCAAATTCACCAGCTGCTCCATGAGAGGAAGATGGGCAATCTACTCCCACGTGATTTACTCCTTCCGAAACCTGCTAGAGGGTCAGCTATGACTCATTTCCAACATGATGGTACGTAACAACAACAGCAGCAGCCAACAAAGTTCCCATATGCCCCTTCTCAGCCACCTGACCCCATCTTCTCAGAGGCAACTACTATTCTGATTCCTCCTTCCATCCCAGCTATCAATTAAATTTGCCTGTTCTACAATGTCATAGAAATCACCCAAGCCACCTTTATATAAAGCATCTTTCTTTCAATATCATGGTTCTGAAATTCATCCATTTTGTCTCACACACCAATAGTTTATTCTTATTATTACTGACCAGTATTACATTAAATGAAAAAACTATAGTTTGTTAATCCATTTTCCCCCGCTGGTTGCTTCCAGTTTTGGTATATTATAGTTAAAACAGCTATGAACATTCTTTTGTAAGTCTTTTTATAGATAATTTGTTTTCATTTCTCTTGAGTTAAACCAAGGAATGAAAGTACTGGCACAGAGGGAAGGCTCCCATTTGGTTTCACAAGGAACTGCCAGACCTTTCTCCAAAGAGGCTGTACTATGTTCTATTCCCACCAACAAAATATGAGCTTGCTGGTTGATTCACAGCTTCATCAAAATTTGGTGCTATCAAGTTTTTTTATTTTAGCCACTGTGGTTAGCATGTAGAATAATCTCACCGATTTAAAAATGCATTTGTTATTGATTAATGATGTTGAGCACAGTTAATTGATGAATCTTCCTCTGATCCTAATGTCACATTCTTTTTTTTTTCTTTCTTTTTCTTCATGATTTTACAAAAGTTTATTCTTAAATGTACAGCAGGCCCTAAGACAACACTTTGTTTTAACTATGGGTGGCAACAGATGTCATAGCAAAGAATGCAGATATTTTAAACAGGAACGGAAATAAAGTTCATCACTGCCTCAGTTACAAAGAAAGAATAGCTTATTCCTTGCCAGATTTCTTAATTCTTTTCCATGTGTGGCAGGGGATCTTTGCCCATGGCCTTTGCTTTTAGCTTCTGCAGTTTCTTCTGTTCTTCATTTTGTTTCCTTGGTCTGCTTCTTGGGCTGTTTCAAGGGCTGCTTCTTAACTAACACCTCGCATTCAGATATGGCTCTGCACCCGCTTCCCCAGGCTACGGGAGGTCTTCCTGAGTCGCCTGTGCCTCCACCACTATGCTGTGCAATTGCCACATTCTTCTTCACAGAGCAAGGCTTTCTGAATTATTTGTTCAGCCTATAGATTGAATAAGTATGGAAAAAGGATATACTTACTCCTTATGATCACCATTCCTAAGTTTAAACCACACAGTGGTCCCTTATTCTGTTTGGGTAACAACTTCTTAGTCTAGGTATAGATTTTGCATGAGAACAATTAAGAGTTCTGGAATCCCATTCTTTTTAATGCTAGCCATAGTTTGTGTGATTCACACAGTCAAATGCATTTCTATAGTCAATAAAACACAGATAGACATTCTTTTGATATTTTCTGCATCCAGCCAAGATCCATCTGACATTAGCAATGATATCACTGGTTCCATAGCTTGAATTTCTGGTAGTTCCCTGTTGATATACTGTTCTAATCATTTTGGGATGATCTTCAAGCAGTATTTTGCTTGTATGTAATGTTAATGATATTGTTTGATAATTTCCACATTTGGTTAGATCACCTTTCTTGGGAATGGGAAACAAATATGGATCTCTTCCAGTCGGTTGACTAGTCAGCCAACCATCCTCTAAATTTCCTGGCATAGACTGGTGAGCATATCCAGGGTTGCGTCTGTTAGATGAAAAACATTAATTGGTATCCCATCTATTATAGGGACCTTATTTTTTGCCAGTGTCTTCAGAGCAGGCTGAACTTCTTCCACTGTTACCATTGGTTCTTGTTCATAAGGTGTTCCCTAAAATTTTCAGTGCTGACCAGTTCCTTTTGGTACAGTTACTCTGTGTCTTCCTTTCATCTCCTTTTGATGCTTCCCGGGTCATTCAAGATTTTGGTCATGGCATCTTTCAGTTTACAACTTGAGGCCTGAATTTG